GCGAGGTCTTGCAACAAACACTTGAGGTCCTATTTTTTTTCTTATGTGTAGAATTAGAGAGAAAAAAACCATACGCATTTGTGTGTGTGCGAAAGAGGCCCCTCATTCTTTTGTTTGTTCTTCATATGTATAAAGACAGCAAATATGAGAGAGAGAGAGAGAGAGAGAGAGAGAGAGAGAGAGAGAGAGATCTCGTGGAGGTCATCTTCTTCTTTTTCTTTGTATATAATGAGAGAGCATATGGGCAAATATGTGTTTGAGAGAGAGAGAGAGAGAGGCTTCGCATCGAACACTTGGGGGCCATCGTCTTTTTTTGGTTCTTCTTATATGTAAAAAGTGAGCACATGGGCCTGTGAGCTAGAGAGAGAAGGGCCTTTACCATTTTATAGGGCTTAGCTATTTTTTTAAAATTTTTTTAAAGGGGCTTTACTTTTTTTTTTTTTACAAGTGGGCACTAGGCACCTGCCTTGACTGCCTAGGCGCCCGCCTTGAGCTCGTCTAGGCAGGCACCTAGGAGCACGTCTTCCTAAGGTGCCCGCCTAGGCGTATATCAGGCCTTTTTTTTGATAGCCACCTATGCTGCCCGGCGGCCAAATTTTTGAACATTGCAATCAGTGTTATCACCGTCTTATTGATAGGTTGGGTGAGTGGGTTCCACCAAACATTTCATTTATCCCACTTTTCTTCCACCACTATCCAACACACACTGATTGGTTGACGATCACCCCTATGACCATGGTATCATGATGACAGTATGGATCGTTATATCTATCTATATGTTTCTATCATTATTAAAGAAACATGTTCATAAATATATATCTAGTATTTTGTCATTGTGAAAGATGTGGCTTTGTTTTAATACAACTGCAGACCAATGATTAAGGAAATATGGCATTCTTAAAGAAACTAAAAGATATTTGAAGAGAATGATCTAAAATGCTTTTTTGAATAATCGTCATATTTTTGCATGTTAGGTTTCTTGAAACCGCAAGGGTATAATGTGTATTGTGTATTGATTATGATGCTTAACTAAAGTTTGGTTACTTTCATAATTACTTTATTTGAAATGTTGTCTTTTTTCCATTGACGGGGAGGCAGAACCTTGAAATGCAAGTAAATGTTTTTGTCCCAATCAGCTTGAAACTTCCAGTTGGACTCTAGAAGCGCACATATTTGCACTTGTTTTCACTGCAAGACATATTTTTAATGCTCTGTTGACTATACATTTTTGACACTGTTTCTTTTAAAGGCCTTTTGGTTTATCGTTCATCAAAAGCATGTAATGATGAATTTCAGAGGTACATAAGGCAAAGACATTCCTAATCACATGTCCAACTATACATTAGAAAACAGCTGGTTTTTGGAGGAGGGTATGATGGGTGATAGAGGGTGGTGATTGGGGTTTTTTTCATCTGGGATCTTGCAGATGTCATCTTTTGTAGGCCATGGGGTTGGTGTTTGTTAAGTGGTGTCTGCTTAAGATGTCCAGCCAGTAGCTGGGTTAGAGTGTCGAGTGTCTTTTTGGCAGAACTTTATAGGGTTTTGGATTTAATTTTGGTGGACGATTGACCTGCATGGGGGCTGATGCATGTATTTTGTTTTTGTGTAATTCATAGACTGTGCCATATAATAGTTGATAACTTGATATTATTTGTCATAGCGGACCTAGTCTGATTGTGGTTGTTTATTGAAATGATACTGATTCACTTCTTCTCTTTCTAATAAACTATCTTGTATGCAACTTGATACTTAGACCGACCTGTCTTCGATATTACTGCATATCATGCCAATTAGTACTGCAGAAACTAGATTCCGTTTATGTTCATTGAAGTGGTTTGTTTTCTTTCATTTGATCCCATAAGTTTGCTCTTGATTAGAAGAATGATATTAGTAGAAATGATATTTATTCATCAACTATAGAATGTACTTCCTGTGTCTGGCGTGCTTTTATCACGGAAGTTTCTTGTGAGTCACCCTACATGTGCATGTCATTGAAGTCCAATCATGAGCATAATATCATCAATTTTATGATTCCATTGAAGAAATGTTATTCCTTGCCCTCGAGTGGGTTTTCATCAGCTTCTATGTTTCTTCCTGGGTGCTATATGAAAATAGGTTATAGGAGCGGCAATGTTCTATGCAAAGGTTGGTAGTTGTACTGTTGTTTACACAGGGGACTACAATATGACTCCTGATAGACACCTAGGAGCAGCTCAAATAGACCGTTTATATGTGGATCTCCTTATAACAGAGTAAGTGAGGTTGCGACCGGTTTACTAATGTGTTCTTAGTTTTAGCAACAATTTTAATGATCGACTTATTGCCAGCATTTGCAGTGGCAATGGGTCTTATACTAGAAATCAACCAAATTCCCAAAAAAATCCAATTGATGAAATTTCAAAAAGATATAATTGTATGAAGTCCTATAAACTCACGTGACATGTCGGATGCACATAAGTTTGTGAAACCCCTTATTTTATTATGAACATATAACTTACCTAAGTAATAAAAAATAGTTAGGGTCTTTCTCCACAATAGTTCCTTTTGTATTGTAGTTTACTTTTATATTTTGTATCTAAATGACTTCGTACTCTCTTTCTATCTCTGAAATTTTTGTTTGACTTGCATAATCTTTATCAATCATTAGTACACAGAAGTTATAAAGTAGATATGGAGGACTCCTAGCCGCTGTATTCCTTAACTTCTTGGGTTTCTTGGGAAGGTTTGGTTTCTATACCACTTCCATCCAGGTTTTGCATTCCGCCCGTTACGAATAACTGCTCTTTCCTAATTCAACCCTCCAGAGACTCCCTCCTTAATATATGTGATTTAATCAATCCACTTGAGAGCTAAATACCATACCAAGTTGCATTCTTTGTTTGTCAAAGGCGCCTCTCATCACAAATAATGGGCATGTGAATTGGACAAGAATTCCACATCCATCTTGCTCAGGAAGTTTTGATGGATCGCATCGTTCTTAATTTGATTTTTTCGTTCTTAATTTGATTTTTTTTGCCAAATCAAGAAGTCTAGTTTTACCATTTATTGTGTTCAATGTTAGCATTGTCGGCCATACCAATGGTCAATCTAGTGCTGTAGAACTTTGTTGTATTTTTGGACTTCAAATGAATTTTATTGCATTTTAGTTGAAATTTTTGTTTTGTCAGAACTTATCCCATTCTTTCTTCCAGATCCACGTATGCGAATTCTGTACGAGAATCAAAGCTTGCTCGTGAAAGGGATTTTCTTACAGCTGTACGTATCCTTGATACGTGGTCATTTTTTTTGCTTGACTAGTTTCACTTGTTTAGGTATCTTAATTATTGTGATTATATTGATATTGATTTTCATGAAGTCCGTCATTTGCCATTGCTGCTCAAAATATTAAATGCTTATGTGACATTGAATTGAATCTTGGGATTGAATGCTATGAGACCATTTATCATTGTTACAAGTAGGTCGCAATTATTCCTAGCCATTAGATGTGAAACTGGAAGCTTGGGGTGCCTCACAAAGTTTGAGAATTTTTTATTTGAATTTTGAGTCTAGTCAATGACACACTTACCACCACATGATTTAAAATTTAATGGACAAGAGTGATTGTCACCTCCTTGTACTAAAAGTAAATGGTCTCTTTGTATACTTTCCTTGAATCTTTAGACAATTCAAACTTGATATCTACTAATTTCCTATAATCGATGGATGTGTGTGTGCGTATATGTGTGTGTGTGTGTGTGTATGTGTGTGTGTGTGTTCGTGTGTGTGTGTTTCTCCTTCATTCTCTATCTCTCTCTATATATATAGAGAGATATGGATGAAGTTTGTATAAGGTGCCCGCTTTATACTGTGGAAGTAAGGTGCACCTCTAATTTTGCCGAAGGTGAAATTAGATGTCAGAAGCTTTATGATGGCTTGAAAACCTATGTTCAACCTTAATTATGAAATTGAAAATTCTACAAATGCTGTAGATCGAGAAGATCTATAAACACTTGACAATATTGAAAATAGATGGTCCAAAAATCTTGTTACAACATGCACAATTTTTAGGACTCGAAATTCTTTTTCTTCTTTGTATCCATACATCTCAAGTTCAATATGATCAATTGGAAGGTTTTCCAACCTTGGAACACTCTTTTCTACTGGATTTTTGAGGTGTACCTTACTTCTATGGTATAAGGTTGCAACCTTATATAATTTTTTCATATATATATATATATATATATATATAATATGTGGTAGAATTTTGAAAGGGGGAAAATATACTTGTTTTGGAATAAATTGATAAAAGAAAATAGAATTATGAGGAAAAATTAATGTTATGTGGAATGAAATGGCTGATTGTCTTAAGAAAATGACAAATGAAGTTTTAAGAGAACCTAGAATGAAAAGGCATTCAGATAAGGAAACTTGGTGGTGGAATGATGACGTTCAAAAGATTATTAATGAAATACAATGGTATTACAAAGCTTGGCAATGGGATGGAAATATTTGAGGCTATTTCTGTACCAAGGCAATCGACTGAATAATTTAGGGACAGGAGAAAAGACCTCCACATGGTCTTTATTTATCTAGCTAATTAATTTGGTGAGTGTTGGAAAAGAAAGAGTCTTTAGAGGATATATTGACATTGTAAGAGATATGTAAGAGGCAACACTAACTAGTGTGAGGACAACTAGTGGAGAGACAAGTAAGTTATAGTGACAGTAGGCATGCATCAGGGGTCAACATTAAGCCCATATCTCTTTGTTTTACTTGTGCACTAGTTAACTAGGCATCTACATGATGAGGTACGTGGTGTAATGTGTATGTTGTTTGCAGATGACATAGCTTTGACTTGTTCTATGAATCCCTCAGGTTGTTTCATACAGATATTTTCTTCTAGCTTTCCATTTAGAAAAGTTGTTTTTACATCCATTTGGTGGAGCTTGAAGTTGAAGTCGGTAGCTACAGTAATCAAAATCCTAATAGATGGGAACTTGGTATGGGAGAGAATGTTTCATCCAGTGTTTAAAAAATCGGTGAGTAGCAACGGACTCGCCCGAGTCAGCACGGGAATCAGTTACCCCGTGCCGATTTATGTGTAAAACCGGGAACTGCCCGGTTTTAGAGCAGAACTGCCCACATGATGTCATAAACCGCCGGTTCTGAACAGTGAACCACCCTCATGACGGTTTAAACCGCTCATATGACATCACAGATCGGCTCGATAGGTTCTGGCTGACGTCACAAAACTCCACGTGCGAAGAAATTTCGAATGCCTTGTGTGCGCTGCACGTGGTTCTCACCTCAACCAATGTTTCAGACGCTGTTGGAAGTGCTTATATAACCATTTTTTGTCCCACCTCTCTTCGATGTGGGACAAATACAATTCAATGCCCAACGTGGGACCTCAAATCAATATATTGTTTTATTATAAGGAAACTAACACAATGTGGCGTCTCGGGGGTTTGGTTATCACATTGCTATTTAAGCAAAAGGTTCCAGGTTCGAGTTCGAACCTCTACGTTAACATTTTCCCTTTTGAATGTCATAAAAAAAAAGAAAAAAAGCGAAAAAAATAAAATAAAAAATAATATCATCAAAAAATAATCTTTTGTCAACTAATGTCATATAGAAAGAGAAAAAAGCGAAAAAAATAAAGAGAAAATATAATATCATCAAAAAAATAAAACGAAAAACAATAATATATAAAAAAAAATAATGTCATAAAAAAAAATAAAGAGGAAGAAAGTAATGTCATAAAAAAAAGAAAAAAAGAGTTTTATTTTTATCTTTCAAACAAAATAAAAGGAAAAAATTAATATCGTACAAAAAGTATAACAAAAAAGTAAAATAAAAGATAATGCAACAAGCATGTTTTGTCGAAAAACAATTTATCCTCTAAAAATAAAATAAAAGGAAGAAAATAAGTCATCAAAAAATAAAAAGAAAAAATAAAAAGAAAAAAAGACAATACAATGGGACAATAATTCTAGATTTTAGTGGCCATTTTTCATCGATTTATTCCATTCTTTATTGTAGTCCATATATGATTATATATTTTATCCATGATGATTCTATGATTTTTCTTTTATGTAATGCAAATTTAATGGTTAACATAAGTTTAAACAGGGAAAGAACATCTCAATATTTGTAAATTGATGAAAATAATAATAATAATAATGTGGTACTCCCATTTCTTATTGGATTCCTAAAAAACAACATTTATAATGAATTTTAATAATTGTTTTGGATTGTTTTTAAAGCTTAATCCGATCGATTCGGCTGATTCTCGATCCGGATTGTCGATTCACCGATCCGTTTTTTAAACCATTGGTTTCATCATAATCAATGCCCTCTTTCTGGGTAAAACCATTGGCGACAAGTCTAGAGTTTATGTTTCTCTAATTTTCGCTCTGTGTTTAACTTCTTTTTGAAAATCCATTTGCACCCTATGAGTTTTCAGTTATGGGGTAAAGGTACAAGTTCCCAAACATGGTCTTAAACTATGAAGTTATGCTCCTCATTCATGGCAGATATCCAATGGTTCTTTTCGGGACAGGTTAAGGCTTCTTGATATAAGGTACATTCGTAATTTGGATCATCCCCAATGCGTTCATTGTTCCCCTAGGTAAGTACAAAATTTGGGTCTTCTTTTGATTTGGTTGCTCCTTCTAAGGGGTTGTGGTTTGGGTTCTCGAGAGTCAACCTTGTCACGAGCCAACTCAAAGAGATCGGTCTTTTTGTGACTACTATTTCGTCATGCCCCAAGAATTTACAATACTGATATTCCTAAGATGTGACCGTCAAAACATATATACATCTCTTTTTAGGACAATTTACAATGGCGAATTCTTACAAAGTAACAAAAGAAAGTTTAAGCACAACTACAATATCTTCTAGAGTTGATCCTGAAGAGCACTCAAAATAAAACCGCGATTATCCTGAAAAAAATGTTTACCATAATTTGATGAGTTTGGCTACTCAGTAAGTGATCATCATAATCCTAAAATTAATCATGGTTGAAAGATATCAATATTTTCAAAACAGAAATGCATCAACAGTTTCACTTTAAAAAATGCATAATTAAGTATAATTCGAATAATTGAAATACGTATAACATTTTAACGTTAGTGCATAATTCAAAAGATTTCACAAAATACCCTACTGACGTCCTAAGTAGGTCACCTATATACCCCATCAGCGTCCTGATGGGTCCACTTAATCCCTATCGACGTCCCAGATCAGATAGGTCCACTTAATCCCTACAGGTCCACTTATACCTCACCGGCGTACCGGATGAGTCCACTTAATCCCTACCGGCGTACCGGATAGGTCCACTTATTCCTCACCGGCAAACCGGATGAGTCCACTTGCATACTTAAAATATTTCTAAATCTCTTTAAACATTCGAAAGCAGCAATATCATGTACTCAACATATCACTGAAATTATTAATATGAATTTCACTGAAACCGTTAATAACAGTCTCTGTCAATAACATTTCAAAAATAACTAGTCAAATATTTTGGGCTCAAATTTAGAAAGGTAGCAGTTCGTAAAGACATTTTAGCTTAATTGCCAATCTAATATGTATAGAAAAACTCTTGTAGAAATTCAAGAATACGAAATTATCACAATTTATGGGATGTCAATTTGCAAATAAACATTTCACAGACAATGCTATAATCAAATGCAAAAATATCAGTTTTCAAATAATAAGGCAGTCATTTGCACATGAATTTTACAATGTCTAAATATTTAAAAACAGTAGAAAGAAATCTCACAATTTTACTAAAAGCAGCAATATCACATTTATTTCTAATAATTTTACAGTATCTAAAATTCTCTAACAATAGACAAGAAAAATAAATAAATTTATTTCTAAGAATTTACAGCATTTAAAATTTTTAACATAGATAAAATATCACAATTTTATTAAAAGATTATTTTTTAAAATAATGAGGTCGCTTGCGCATAAAATTTATCGAGCCTAAAATTCATGATAATAAGTATAAGTAATTATTTCATTTCATTTTTCAAAAGAACGGATTATTTTTCAAGATAATGAAGTCACTTACCTAAAATATTTGAGAGGGAGCTTTCGATAAAAATTCGGCTTGAGAGAGGAGCTCACTGTGTTTCGACTAGAGAGAGAAAGATCTCAAAAGTTTTTTAGGGTGGGAGTCCTCACCTCTCCGAATTTAAATTCTTAGGGCATATTATTATACTATTTTATTGAGCTCCACCTCATACATGACGTGTGACAATAATGTT